TTGGGACTACCCCTAATTTCATCCCCAAAGCACTCATTCTATTCAGACTACTTTATGCTGCTTTTAACAAAAACAGCAGAAACCTAAAGCGCTAACTTTTCTCCAAAATCCTCTTGCAAACAGTTTTCAGGCAGTTCTAGTACCAAAACTTATGTACCTATAATTCGTTTATAAACTGGTAAAACCAGTATGTTTCTGTGGTTTGCATTTCAAACTGCAGCTTAAACAAACAGTTCAGAAGCCCACGTAAGATCCACTTTCAGATCCCCTTCTCAACCCTTAGATAAATGGCTCTGTGACAAGGCAGTGAAACTTTGGCCACATTTTGTTCTGAAGCTCTGCAGATCTTGTTTTCCACACTCAAGCAGCCCACACTGGATCTAACACAGGACTCTCTCTTCCCCTCCAAGCCAGCTGGCTCCCACGTCCTAAAAGAAAGGAGAAGGTATTTTCGGACTAAGTGGCTCTGTATGTGCTGAAGTTTTGTTTTTCTGGCTTTACCAGTCTGTCTTGATCTTGATCAGTGTCTCCACTCCAGGACTCCTGTAGCTTTCTTAAGCAAACCCTGAACCTTGCTGACCCACAGGAGACCCCTGGGACATGCCTGAACATAGGCTGGATTCAAAGACTGAGACACTCTTCCAGTTCTAGAAGACCCTTAACCTCCCAAGATCTCTGGATCAATCTCTCTCCTTCAAAACTGAAGAAATAGTTGATTCTACCAGTTGACTGATTCCATAAAAGCTCTATGGGGAAAAGTCATCCTAGACCCTGCGAAACTTTTACCTCTGTAACCTTTTCGAAATTTCCATACTGGTAAGAACTCCTGCTGAATGAAATGGGACATATACAGCTGCTCTGATCAAGGACTGACGGGCCAGATTCCTTCCCTGTTAATATCGCTGACTTCAAGAGGAATTACATCATGAGTGAATCAGGTCCAGAGTCATACCAATCTTTGCTATGAATCTGATAAAACCTCATTAAAATGAATAAAGTGGCATTTTTCATACAAATCCGAGAATGAAAATGCCCTTATTTTTGAAGGGAAAGTGAGATTTAATAGATAAATTTGGCATTTTAAGGCTGAGATACAAATCAATAAAAATTCTAATTTGAAGTCTACTATGACTTATTTAGCTTCTTTGTTGTTGACAAGCAATGCAAATTCATGTTTCGCTGTGCTTTTAATAAAAAGTAAATGATGTTACACACCATGAGTGTCATTGTCTGAACAACAAAACTAAGTACAGAACACAATAGCAGCATTACTAATTATTCTTCCTTTTGTTAACTTAGAGCCTAACCTTAACATTACTTTGAAATACCATTTTTACTGACGGGAGTACATTTTTCTGTTGCTCTTTAGTTGAATTCCTCCCCAATGTGCTGGCACAAACTGTCTTTGCAAGGAAACTATACTTCTTCTTTTGTAATCCAACACTCATAAAAGGTTTTAACTAATTCATTACAGTCATGGAGGATGATGTATAAATAGCAGAACTTTTTTCCAACCTCCACTTCAGAACAGAAACACCATTCATTTAAAAGGCACATTTTCGTAACAGCATCCCTTATTGCTCATTGCCACAGCCACCACCCAAGAACAATGCGAGCTGGAAGACACCACTCTTTTTATTTTCATCTTGTGCATACAAGTGTATTGCTTTTTAAAAATCAGTCATATTTCCTACACTGGGTTTGTACTTTCAGGACTTTGTTTTCTGCTATTCTTGTAAAAAAAAAAACAAAAAAACCCAAAAAATTTAAGTATTTCATGTCACAGCCATGAGAGATCTTTTTAGCAGGGGAAACCCACAAGAAGTGTAGAGCTACAACAACCACCAGTGTTTGGAGGCACAATATTGCCCTTCTGTTGAGCAGAGACAGATTAAAGCCCATTGCTAAGTCACAGTTTCCCATTGGAAGAGAAGTGAGTAAGAGACATTCAAAACAGTTTTACATGTAAGGCATTCATCTGCAAGCCCGTTCCAAATTACACACAAACAATTCTACTTGCAGAACCACTAAAACAATTCAAGGAAACTGATAGTTTGGTCATTACCTTCATTTGAGACCAATTAAGCAACTCAGTTTTGTATTTCTCTGATGTATTTCTATTAAAACCAATGTATTGTGCCAGTTCCTGGAGTAGGCAACATGGCTGGGAGGAAAGTTTGTTTCTGGCACATATCTCTAGTCTGACTAGCAATTCATTGACTCATAGATGGAAGAGACCTCTGGAGGTCACCTAGTCCAGCCTTCTACCCAAAGCAATATGACCACCACCACCAGATCTGGTCAGCTGTGGCTCTGCACAGCCAAATCTTCTACATCCCCTCTTGCATGGAGAAAGCACGCCAACTCTGGGTGACCTCTGCAGTGCTGCACCAACCTTGGGGTGAACAGGTATCTCATAAGGACTACCATAAGCCATCCAAACTTCAGTATGTGGCCACTGGCTCTTGTTACCTATCATCTAGTGCTACTGACAGAAGTTCAGCTTCACTGAGCTGCCCTCTAGTTAGTGGTACGCCAAAATGAGATCATCCACCAGATTCCCCTTCACTAGACCGAACAAGCCCAGCTCCCTCAGCCTCTTTTTGTAGGCTTCCTGACCAATTTTTAACCTCTCTGACAGACCCTTTCCAGCTTCCTAACACCTCTGTTGATCTGGAGGTCCCAAAGCTGAATACGTTATTCTCACTGTGCTCTCACCGATGTTGAGAAGGGTAACAACTTGCCACATCCTTCAAAGGTGACACATGTGACACATGATGTGGTTTCTTTTGCTTGCAGTGAGAGTACACTTTGGCTCATAGTCATCTTGGCATCAGCTGTGCATCTCCCAAGTCTGTTCTAGATCCCTGGTGAGCAGAAGAGTGCCAAGACCTGCTGGCAGGCAGTATGCCTCACAGCCACTCCCAGGCTGTCCTTAGCAGCCTGAGGAAAGACATATGGTGCAAGACCAGGTAAGTAGAAAATATGAACTCCTGCTTATAGATGGCAAGAAAAGTTTAATCTCCTCTTTCCTATCTAAGCATAGTGACCTACTCATAGACACAACCTAAATACCCCAACAGGTCTTCTTCAGCAGCAGGACATTTTGCCAGGATGTGCCACTGTGTTCAAGCCATGTCACTCAGGCATTTCAGCAAATGTGGACAGAGGTTTTTGGCATAGAATCCCTCAGTCATTTCAGGCCAATGAGAAAGAGATCCAGTTAGAAAACTCAAGGTTTTAAATCTTACGTGAGACACTTTAACCTAGCTCAATTTTTGAGGGGAAAAAACTTCAACACTTGAGTTTGTTCTGCAAGATAAAAAATAATCCTGAATGTACAGAAGTTGCTGCCAAATCAGGTTGTTCACCTATGGACAGTATGGCTACACACAATTTTAATCAATAATTAAAATAAGGCAGGTGTGTGTACATACAGTTTGATGTTGAAAAAAAAGCCATTAAAGCCTCAAGTCAGCACATCCTTCAACAAATGTATAATTGTATGCACAGGCTGTCCACACACAGTAGCACTTCCACGGCCACAGCTCCAGTGTTTTTCATACCACACATTTTTAGACTATTCAAGGCTTGGTGCTGTGATAATTACACAATTTCCAGACAGCAGCAGTGTACTTTATGAAACAATTTCAAGTAGAACCTTTAAGCCAGTGGATTTATAGATTCAGAGCAAGTGCAGGTATCAAGTATGGCTCACATAAGCAGCATACTGGCAGGGGCTTATCTCTTAAAAAGAACTAAAGCACACAACCATACTAATTTACATTATTAAGAGAGAATTCCTGAAGGAAAAGCAGTTACACCATTTAGTACACAAAATTCTCCTTAAGATTTCAGTATTTTGTCTTGGGCTTCTTTGTGCCAGCAGGAATTTACTGCACAACCTAGCTTTCATTTTGGAGATGACTAGTCACACACACAAATCAAAAACTCAACGAAACACATGGCTACACAAAGCAGATGAAGGTGTAAAACGAATGCAGGAAAAGCAGATGAAAAAGGACGGAGCCACCTTACACCTACCTTTCAGAACTGGAATAGACCAAGAGCATATAAAGAAGAGAGCTGAATATGCCTCCCTTATTGCCATCGGTAAATCAGCACCAGAAGAACTGTTTCAGAGCCACGGTAAGCGCAACTAGATTGTGAAAGTGGTAACACATCCCTTCCTTGAGAAGCATCCATTTGATGTGCCTTGTGTTGTAGACTGTGAACTCTTTGCTGTGTATTATTAGCAAAGTAGCTAGCAAAAGAACATCCTAGTCCTTGACTAAATTCTAGGATTTACTCCTAGCTATTTTGGAATATGCTAGGATTCATTCCTAGCAATAGCCAGTGCTTTCATCAGTTAAAAGAAATGGTAAGCTTAGAGAGACCCATCATAGAACATCAAGAGATAGGCATGGTCTGACATTCCTATAACTCACAGCATTTACTTCCAAACACAGCACTTTAAGAGAATAATTTTTACCCTGGTTTCAAATGCCTTCTGAAATTCTGCGACGCTGTCTGTTCTGAAATAGTATTGAAAAAAATAACCGTTTCACAAAACAGCCAATTGCAAAAGTAAAAAAAGCATCTTCTTTCCCCTCACCCCCGTCTTTAAACTACTGCATGCTCCACCCACTACCAACAATAACTTGTAGACATACAAGATCACAGGACAGATACTTGGCAGCACAGCAACACTATAATTATTTCAGATACTTTAGAATTAGGAGGCAAAAATATGCAGTTGTTTGAACTATTGTACCTACAGTTTCTTGGGGTGCAAGAGGCCACACACCCTACTGCATCAGGCACCAGGAAAGTTCCCCGGTGTCAAGCGGAAGCAGTGAGCATATTAAGAAGCCAAGCAAAAAGCAACTCTGAAAATGTGCTTCCTCTACTTGCTCCACAACAGATTCATTACACCTAGCATGAGCACTCACATGGGCAATAATGTTTATACGTTAGCCAAAACATTACATTTTCCTCACCTTTCTTTCTCCACCATGGCCCTTCTTGGATAGAGTATGACAGTTCTTTAAACTCAATATTCACAGCCGGTCTGCGGGGTAGGTAGGAGAAACGATGAGCTTCTGTCAGAGTACTGTCCACTTTTTTAAAATGTCCATTCATCAGTCGAATGTCTTGGATATCTGTGCCATTGGACACTACTTCATCCACTGAAACACACACCGACTTTGGCTCGGCCATGGCACAAGCAGAATTGCTGCCGTTCTAGAGAGAAGTTGGAGAATGGACAAAGTTCACAGACTTTTGTTTAGGAACGTGTTTCCAAACCTTCTGCACTAGAAGAATTATTACTTAAGTAACACAAGAATCCAGCACAGTAATGCACTGAAAGGTGAAAGGGGAAACAAAAATCAATCTTTTGTTTGTTCTGCCAGTGTCTTGACAGAAGAGGTAAAAGAGCTCTCGCATTCAGCAGCACACAAAGGGCAGTTCCTTGAGCACCAGTTACCCTTCAAAGGGTATATACACAGCACACTAGTATCGTCAGAACAGAGATGCTCTTTCACCAGATTAATACATTTATAAGTTCAGTCCCCATTGCGTTTGGTTTCTCATGCACCCAACAGAATTTGGTTATAGTTACTCTGATTCCAGGGCTTGTAGTGGGACAGAGCTGAAGGGGGAAGGGAGCTGCCAAACAATTATTTGTGCAGACATTTCAAAAGACAACCACTCAAAAAGTCTAAGAGCTGTCATTCCTTTGGATCAGCATGTAATTCCATAAATGTGAAGCTGCACAAGCTATATTTCTGTGAATTTTAAAATGTATGATTTTGTGCCTTATTTGCTCCTGCGCTGATAGTTCTGGAGACTTTGCAACTTAGAACAGTAATTCTTTCCTAGGTGTCTGTTAGAAAAGCACAGTGCTTTCCACCCAAAATCCTTGCACGCTTTGCTTGCTTGACAGTGATTCCTAATGGAAATCTTATCAGCTACATAAACACATTAAATCTTGCTAAAGTACTCGCACTGTTGACATTGTAAGGTCAATGCTCCATGCTTACAGCCATACTTCTTACTACGCTTTGCCCATTGTAGCACTCAGTGTAATTCCACTTGGCATTTTTTGGACTGAATCTCTTTCTCCTCCTCTCCTGACCATGATGATGGGCTGCTGCCTGCCTTTCTCTTCTTTTTTATTATGCACACAAGACTTGAACTTTTTCAATTACTTTCACCTGCATAGGCACCTTGCACCAGTATCAAGAGGCTGTGTATAAAGCCAAAAGTGAAACAATAATGAATTTTCTTCAGCTAAACACAAGTTTGAAGAGTTAGGCTGTTTGCTGTCATCTGTTGTTTGGAGTATGTTCTAAGCAGGGCCCAACATCTGCACCGTTGTTTATTAGAAAATATTAGTATTTTTAATGTAAATCTGTATTGGAGAAGACTTCTTTTGTGCTAGGCTTTCCATGCTGTCACATGTGCCCAATAACCTACATGTCCCCAAAGGTTAACTGTTGGAAAACCTTGGAGCTGCACTACTTTTCAAGGCATTAGTGTTGGAATACCTCCAGAGAGCTGTAGGTCAAGCCACCGTCTCCCCCTATTTATCCTCCAGTGCCACAGAGAAGTCACATTGCCCCCTTTTCTCTGTGCCAGTTTCATCCTCTGTCACGGTTATTGTTCCTTCCCTTTATGTTGTAAAAACAGTGCTGCTCAGATCAGTCACTTGACATGAATGCAGATGAAAAATATTTTTTAAAAAGTCCTACATAACCACTGATGAAAAATATTTCAAAAGTAGCCCTAAATAAACACTACATAGCAAGGGCCATCTTGCTCTCCATGCACATGCCCCAAGTTCTGGATGTTAAAATCAGCTCTGCTTACTTCATTTTCTCAGGAGATTTTAATCATGCCCTCAACTTACTTAAAGGTCAGGTATCCAGTAACACTCCTAATTTCTTACAGAGCTGACTGTAATGGTATGTAATTTGAACATAACAAGCATAACGTAAAACATCCTAGAACTGAACAATTAAAGCAGGGGAACCTCCCTCTTCCCTAAAAAATAAGAGAAGATGAGTTAGCAGTATTCTTTCGTGAATGTTTTCAAGGTTTGTCACTCATAAGCTGTTTCAGAAGAACCACTTCACACACCAAAGGGAATATCCATAAAAACAACTCTCAGTGAACCAGTCACCTTGAGCATTCAGGTGACAGTCAGAGTTTCTCTAGTTCAAATCAATTCAAATAGAAATATCCTTTGGACAAATTCCTTGTCCGCCTACTTATTCTTCTGGCAGTATGAAGCCAAAGGCTTTTATTCTGGGCACATAAAACAAACCATTTCAATCACCTAGCAGACTGAAATGCCTGTTTTCAGTGAGAGAGTCCTGCCGGTACTTGGTCACAAGCCTGCCTTCTCCAGCGACCACCGGCCAGGGGTGAGGATCCTTCCAGGGCCTGGGGTGGCAGATGCAGCTCCCAGCCACGGGATCATCTTTGTTTGCAAAGAGATGGGCAATCCCCATGGATATGACAGACTTACCCAAGCCCTGTGTAACGAACTCCTCAAGCACACCCCAACTCCCTTCCCACAAGGGCTAACACCAACAAACCCTTCAAACTGATACTCACTTGAACCCCCCTGCGCATCAGACACGAAGAGCGCTATGTTCTCAAGCACTACGCTCACATCTCAGCCGCTTTCGTACAGGTTTACTTCCCCTATAGTTTTACTCTGCCGCTAAGGAACTGAACCGCTTCCCGGCGCCCACTGTGCAAGATCCCACCGCCCGCCCGCAGCGGCAGGACGGTCCCGCCGGCTCTGCGCCCTCCTTGCCCAACCGCCCGCCCGCCTCATGCCGCCCCGGCTGTTATGCAAAGGTTACGGTCCCTCTGCAAATCTGTTTTGAAAACGACGGGGCGCAGCAGCGTAAGGAGCATGCTCGGAGCAGCCGCTAATCCCCCCGTCTTAGCGACAGCACTGAGGTAACTAGCGGTCAAGCGCCGCCGTCCCCTTACATTCCCCGCCGCCAAACGGGGGCTGCCCCGCACCCCGCTGCGCGACGCAGCCCCGGGACCACCGACCAGCCCCGGTTGTCCCTCAGGGACAGTGGGACATTACCCGCGGAGCCCTCGCTCCGTGTCCCCCCAGCTCCGCACCTCGCCTGCCGCGGCCGCGCAGCACCCCGCGGAGGTGGGCAGGGAGGGCAGGGCGCGCCTTACCAAAGCGGTGCCCAGGGAGAAAGCCGCCATCAGACATGCCATGTGCTCCGCTGCCCGCCCGGCTGCTGGCTGCTGCTCCAGCTCCGCCGGCGGCGCGCCGAGCCCTCGAGTGCCGCCTCTCCGTCCGGAGTGGCTGCGGGAGGCAGGCGGGCAGGGAGGGAGCGGCCTCCCCCCGCGATGGGGCCGCCTCCGCCCGGGGCTGCCCGCCCCCCGGTCCCTGCTGCGAGGCTGGGGAGAGCCGGCGGCGCGGTGCCTGGGGGCCCACCCGCAGGGGCCGTCACCGTCCCTCTGCCCAAACAGGCGGCAGACGCTTCCCCAGGGGACTGCGGGCGAGCAGGGCTCGCCGGATCACCACTGGGGAGGGCTGCCGGAGTTGCCTCCACACCCGTAACTCGCTCAGGTCCCGGCCAGGCTTCCTTATGGCCTCTCGGAGGGGACGTGCGGTGACGTTCCCCGAGGAAACGGGGAATCGAGGCACTTTCTGATGTTGTTTTCTGCCATCCTGCCCGCATGAGGAGGAGATGGCTCTTCTGGCCCTGGGACTTGCATGCCATTGATTTATAAGCTGTTGGGTTCAGAAATAGGGAGAATGAAGGTTCTCGCCGAGTTTCCATCTTCATTCATTTTCCCATCAAATCAAACACCTGCATTTCAGTATGGTCCTGCAAAGATGGGGCCTAAACCCCATGTTTATGAAGGGCAGTGCGTGCTGTTCACCTGCTGTTGGGGTTGTTTTAGCACTGCTGACTCGAATCTAGATCCATGATGAGGTTGCGAGATAGATTCATGAGCTGTGCTACCCAGTGGCAGGAAGCTCTGCCCAGCCGGTTCACCAAGAAGCCAGATAATGGAAGAGCTGCCAATTGCTTGAAGTGCTGGAGAAGTTACATACCTGCTGGGCCGGTTTTTGGTGTGTGCTTATGCTCCCTCTCTATTCCCCAGGAAGTAGTAGGAAGAAGTGACAAATTATAGCAGGGGTCCAAGAGCAGGATTCCAAGTGTCTACCAAATGTTCTACACGAGTTCATCATCTCTGCTAACCAGGGGCTTGCCATAATGCTTGGTGCTCGTTTAGCATTGTAAAGAGACAGAGGTAATCTTTACAAAGCCCCTGGAAGGTAGTTAAGTGTTTTATCCTTGCTGAGCTGTGGAGGGGTGTTTACTGCAGGAGGCACAGCGCTGCAGGGAGGCACCTGCTGCACAGAACATCTATGCTGGGTCAGATGAGAGTCCATCTTCCACTGTACCCTTCCTCCTGAGAGTGGCCGGGAGACGGATACTCAAAGAACTTAAGCTCAGGCTGGCTTATATTAGGTGTCACACTGATACTCACCCAGCCTACAGCTGATTTTGTCTCTTCTTTCAGCATCTACCTGCTCTGGAATACCAGACCAAACACAGATAGGCGCATACTCACTGAAGGCTTGAACTGTATTTGAGAAGAAATTTGAAATGCAATTCTTTCTTAATGTTAGAAATAAAGAGAAATTATGAAGCAGTCTTCCAGTGAGGGTCCAGGGTTTTAATTAACATGATTTGGAGGATGTGTCGATAGCATCTAAAATTTGTTCAAGCTTGTCTCATTTATTTTCCCTTAGAAACATTGAGAAGGCTGCATTATCTCCCCACAGGGCCTGAAAAAGGCTGTGAAATACAATCAACACAATGGTTTGGGTTGGAAGGGACGTTAAAGATCATCCAGTTCCACCCTCCTGCTATGGGCAGGGACACCTCCCACTAGACCAGGTTGCTCAAGGCCTGTCCGACATGTCCTTAAACATTTCCAAGGTTGGGGCAGCCACAATTTCCCTGGATAACCTGTTCCAGTGTTTCAGCACACTCATAAGTGAAGAATTTCTTCCTGATATCTAATCTAAATCTGTCCTCTTTCACTTTAATTCCATTTCCCCTTGTCCTGTGCAGCTGTATATGTTTAAGGCATTTACAGAGTAAAATAAACTGCTTAAAGATATCATTTATTTTAACTGTGAAATGGAACAACATACAGAGAGCAAGAGATACTCTGATCTTAGTGAATGTGTGATACCGATTCAGCATGATGCTTATTATCCTCTGTTTTAACTTCGTAAAGGCTTAGGGAGAAGTAAGAAAAACAACATAGAGGCTGTAACGAAACTCAAACACACAGTAGTGAAATCTGCTGCACAAACAAAAGTTTTAGCTCCGTCTGTAAGCAGCTTACAGCACTAAAGGCTGAACTATGCCTTTCACAGCCCAGTCCTTCACAGGAAGACATGCACTGCCTGTCAGCTGCAGGGCTGCTTGCGCTGCCCACCTGGGCTCACCCGTGTCACCAGCTCAGTTGTGTTACTGCCCCTCCTTCACAGCCCATCAGTGTGCAAGGAGGGGCATTGCTCCAAGTTCATGAGACGTTGGATGCCCCTGATGAATGAAGTGACAGTTTCTCAATCAATGTCATGGCTGAAGTAGCGTGGGCTCAACCATGTATTTACCATACTTCTTTTAACGGTGTATCTGAAAACTACCTTTCACTGTATGAAGTGTCACAGAGGCACAGGCACTGGGCATGATATGAAGACAAGTGATGGCTCAACCCTGCAGCCTCAAGCACCGTTCCTGTCACCTTCCATGATAGTTTTTCCTGAGCAAGAATGCATGATCAGATCCTGAGGACTTACTTTTCCAGGGTGGCCACAGTATCAGTATCTAAGGGAGCTGTGTGTGAAAAACTGAGACATAAAACAGGTTTCTCAGAAACCCAAGTTCTGTTTGGTATCTATTTTGATACCGCACAGGCAAAAAATGATTACATAAGACGAAGCATGATAAAAATAGCAGTCTCCTGCATTCCTACATTCCCTCATTAACTCTTCTGTTAACTTTACCAGTGATCCCCTAGTCCCTGTAGACAAAAAGATCAAGAAGACAACTCTGGGGGAAAAAAAATAAAAAGAATAATAATAATTAAAAATTATATATATAAAACCATGTTAAAAAAATCCAGGACAAAAAAAAAAAAAAAGCTGCAAATGAAGGTGAGGACAAGCAGGCAGGGACAAAACTCTGACTCTTAAAATAGAATAGGAAATAGTAGTAGCTTCCAAGCTTTACAGCAGGGTAAGCATTGCAGGCAGTAGACTGATGCAGCTCACAGGAAAGAAAAAGGACATCCATTGCAAGCAGAAATGCACTGGGGAAGGGCATGGTGAAGTGGAGGCTCATCAGTGGCAGGGGACAGCAGGTTTACAGCACAGCCAGGGGAGGTATTTCAACGCAGTACTGATAGCTCTGGTGCCTCTGTACAAGAACTAGTTCATAGAAGTAGCCTGGGGAAATGCAGAAGCCAGCATGGACTTAACTGCTGAGATGCAACATGTAGGAAAAGTTCAACTGAGAAGTGTTGAAGAGGCAGATGAGAAAAAGAAAGTCTCAACTATTGAAGGCAAAATGTTTTAGATGGAGTGTTCGTAAAAAAAACCAACCAGAACAAAACCTTGGTTTTAACTGTTTGCAACTTGCCATTAATTTATGCTGGTCTGGGCAGAGCTGAAGGAATTTTGTGGAAAAGATTTAAGGAGCTTTTGACAATAATGTCCTGTTCTTAGAAATAAAATGTTTATCAAAGAAAAACATTTGGGGTTTTCATTTCAGAATTGTGCTTCTAAGTCTACCTAAAAAGTCGAAGGATCAGAGAACACAAAGAAACACATCTCATTGTGAAATGCTCAGACAATTATTGACCTAAATAAAGCCCCAGCTATAACAGTTTATCCCAGATGGAGTGTCACTTTGCCATTTGAAAATATACACTGTTTTGGATGGTTTCTGAAGTATAATTTCTCTCTTTTCATGCTCTACCCCAGTTATTTCCATAGGTTTAGTGAAATAAGAGTTGAAAGGACATTGGAAGGTTTGAACAGTCTGAAGATGAAGTTGAAAAAAAACTTATGGTCTGATTCTGAGAAAGGCTGGGTTCTGGCAGCCATGAGCCTGCATTGTGCTTTAAAAAGAAAGGACACAGGAAAGGAAAGCATCAAGAGGAAGAAAATCAGTATGCTACTGGAATATAATTATTTTAACTAAAGAAATACTATTCTCTGTTCAGGTTCCCATGTATTAGGACTTGTAAGACACCAACATATATATGACTTTCAGGTGATACATCAAACAAATCACCAGTGACATATCAAACTTTACTACTGGAAGTTATTAGCTGTTTTGCACCCAGTCTCCAGCTAAAAAGTATATCCCAGTATTTTTGGCAGTGACTGGAAATTTGAAGAAGCATCTTACTAAAATACATTAAATCCCTGACTTAGATCACATTTTTCTTCTCCCTTCCTGTTCCCCTTCCATATTTGTTGGAACAACAGTTATAACCCCTCTCAATTTTGTCATGTCTTCTTGTACATGACACTAATATATCCCTTCTTAAACTGGAAATATTCACGTAACGCTATTTGAGCAGAATGTGTTCAGTCAGTTTAAACAGATCTGCCTTCGGATCTCTTTAATATTGAAGAACATAATCAGTCATTCCTTTCAGGTTAGGTATACTCTGTATAATGGGTGGGATTTGTCTCTAATTTTAGCTGCCTAGAAAATTGGTATCAAAGCTAGTCATGCAAACTCTCAGTCAGTGGAAAGAAATGGGCATACCCAAAAGAAAATTCAGTCTCTCCTTGAATATTTGCCTTGCTTTGGAATGGATTCTGAATCCATCTTGGCTTCCCTATCAACTGGGGAGGGCTCAAGATACCTAACTTGGAATAGCCATGGCCAGTGTTATAGAGACAGAGACCACCTAAGCTGTATTCGTATGTCATTTTTGTTTCAGGTAACATTTCCAGGAATAGCACAAGAGGTCTCACCTGTTTATTTTCCCTGAGATTTTGTCAATTTTTTACATTTGGGTACTCAAACGTCCCTCTTCTGAGATCCAAAGGCAAGAAATTCAAGCAAAACACCAACCTATTTCTGGCCAGTTTTAGCTGCAAGTTTAGCTGAAGTTAAGTATTCTGTGGGGAAAGCGTTGGGTGTCTTTCCCCTTGCAGTTGTTCTGATTTGAAAAAGCAACTACACCAGCTGGGGAAGGGTTGTGAATGCCCCCTCCCCTCTTTCTGTGTGGAGTGGAACAGCTTCATGGAGTTTCACCCCAGGGTACACAGCTCTTCTATAAAGGACAAGGGACTGAATAAAGCCCACTGCTCCAGGTTAGGCAGAGCAGTTACT